TGGATAGGCGTGAAACAGCCCAGCAGCTCTGACGATGGCACGTGCTGTACATCTGCTCACAACTCCTGCCAGCAAACTGGGAGCTGCTCGTCCAGAGAGAGCCCACGCTTGGTACCTGTTCACCTGGCTCTGAGTCATCCCAGGATTATTCTACCTTCAGACATCAGGGATCCCAAGCTCCGAGTTGTAGGAAAAAGGCTTTCCCAACAAGCCAAGGGGCAAAGGAAACTCAATTCTCTGGCTATTCCTTCCTGACAGCACAGAGGGATTTGCTCAGTGTTCTTAGCTATGCTTGGCAAGGAGAAATTTGGCACTTAAACCTGGACCCTGTCTAGCAGAGCTTGGGGGGTAAGTGGCTGAGAGTCACAGTCTGGTTTCTCCAAAGTGTGGTTAAAGCCCTCTTGCCAGATTAGAGCCCAAGTACCACAGAAGGGCACAGAGATGGAGGACTTGTCTGTCACTCCCTGTGCCCCTGTCCATCGCTCTTTGGCCACAGTGGCCTGCAGAGGTTTGAGCCTGGGGCACTGTGGGGCTGTCTCATTTCAGAAACACTGCGACAGGCAGAAGGCAAACCTGAGGATCCGCTTCAAGCCCTCGCTCTTCCAGCACGTGGGAACCCACTCCTCCTTGGCTGGGAAGATACAGAAGCTGAAGGTGGGTATCAGCTACAGGTGGCCTGGCCTGCAGGCACCTGGGAATTGGCTGCTTTTGGGTGGGGACAGCAGCTGGTGGCAGCTGGGTTTCTGTGAAGTGGTTGTGTTTTATGCTGAATTACAGTGAGATCAGATAGCTCCTGCTCCTCAGAATGGCAGTGACATGCACCAAGAATCACTGCAAGATTATAAGCCTTGATACCAGTCTTAGCCACCCATCCTGAGTGCCAGGCCATGGTCCAGACAAGTGACTTTGAAGAATCTACTAAAAAATCTTGTGAGAGATGATTCCTGGTTTGGTCTGACTTCCCTCCTCCTCCACTTCATGGTCCTTGGATTTGGTGATGGGCATATTATTACTCATTGTATAAGAGCTAGAATTGTTGATGTGTGTTTAAACATTAACAAAATGCAGTTTTCCACAACTTCAAGTGCAGAACCATGGACAGACATCCCTGGGCTGTGCTGTCTGTGTGATCCCCGGGGAAATGGATGGTATAATCCAGTTTGTATCCCAGTGCAGTGCTGTCAGGCCATGTAATCCAGTCATTTTATGCTATTGTCAGCCTTCCAGCTGCTTTCTCCTCAAGTGCAAAGACTGTTTCCAGAGCTCCTGGGGCATGGACAGGTATTCAGGGACATTTGGACAATGATAGGCTCCTTGGTGTGCTGGATCAGAGTGCAGAGCAGGGGTACTTCTCTGAGCTGCCTCTCCTGAAGCAGTGTCCTGGGGTCCAGTCACACATTCCTCTGCCTGGTGCCTTGCCCAAATTACTTCCATCTCTCATCCTTCTGTGCCTTTCAAATCACAAAATTTTAATTTGCAGTGCCTTGTAGCTGGGGCCTTGGTTTCTCATGAGCCAGAGCAGCTCATGGCTCTTCTCTGCCCTTTTGCTTTGTGCCCGCCAAGGACAAGGACTTTGGAAAACACGCACTGCGGAAAGAGCACGTCAACCCTCCTGCTGAGGTGAGCACCAGCCTGAAAACCTACCAGCACTTCACCTTGGAGAAGGCTTACCTGCGGGAGGACTTCTTCTGGGCCTTCACTCCCACTGCCGGAGACTTCATCCGATTCAGATTCTTCAAACCACTCCGTATTGAAAGGCCAGTGCTTGAGGGGTCAGCGGGGGTGTGGGGACAGCCCAGAGCATGTGGAGACACTTGACTTTTGCTCTTCTGGCAATTTAAATCAAATTTCTTGCCCATCTCCTGCTTGGTTGCCCAGGAGGAGAGAGCAGTGCTCTTCCAGGGGAAGGATAATTTGACCCTTTCTCAGTGGGGCCACCTTTGCCAGAGTTCTTTGCTGCACTTGTGAGCAGTCCATAGTTTAGCTAATCTGGCACAGAAAGTCTCCTGCCAAATCGTGCTGCGGGCTCTTTGGGAAGGTGCCTGTTAGGTTGAGCTGTCGGATGATTCAGATGGGGTGAAAGCCATCCTGTGCCCCCTCGCTCAGTGTGCCTTTCTGTGGGTTTGGTTTCTGTCACAGGTTCTTCTTCCGCAGCGGGAACATCGAGCACCCAGAAGACAAACTCTTCAACACGACTGTGGAGGTTCTGCCGTTTGACGTAAGTGTTGATTGAGATCTGAGGTGAGGGTGGAGTGGGAAGCAAAAGAGGCTTGAGAGTAGGGAACTGCTTAAAGCCATCAGGAAAATCTGTACAAGATTTGAGTGCCTCTTACAGGTGCTGGCAGGGAGCCAGAGGGTCATGCCTGGTGTGATGCCACCTCGGGAGCAGGGTGCTTTGCTGAGCTCGGCTGCGTGAGCCATCCCTGCCTGGGGATGCTCCAGTGGGTGGGATGGCTGCAGAGGAGGGGATGAAGCCAGAATGGTGCAGTGGAAACAGCAGCATGAGGACTGCACCTGTCCTCTTGTTTTGGGCATGTGTCTCAGGGTGCCAGGTATGGGACGAGATGCCAGGGTTTGCTGGCAAGGGCAGTTCTGGGGTTGCTGCTTTTCCCTGGGGCTTTTGGGTGACCCTTGCCTCTGGTCTTGCACAAAACTCTCCTTCTGCAGAGTCTACAGTCAGATAAGGAAGCCTTGCAGGAGGGAAGAGGCACAGTCGTCAAGTACCACAGGACAGCGGATGGCTACATCCAGATAGGTATGGGGGGTGTGGGGTGGTAAAGTGCCTGCTGGCTTTGATAACACAGCCCTGTCCTTACCTGCATGTCATTCAAGAACCTTAGAGCTGTTTGCATGGCAAAGAGTAATTTCTGCTTGCCAGGAACCAGGTTGAATAGTATTTGTCACTGTCTCTGCTCAGAGCTGGGACCAAATGATGCTGATTATTCGTTTGTTTACCCTGAGGTTAAAAACCTCCACCACGGGCAGTTTTGCCATCTCTGTATCACAGCAGTTGCAGATCAGACTTCATCTCTTTCCACCTGAGCTTGTTTAAGTGCTTGTCCTGCCCTTGGACAAGAATGAGCAATTGCAGCCTCCAGAGAGCTGCCAGTGTGTGATACAGCCCTGGTGTCCCTGCTAAGATGTCGGGATTTTTAAGTAGACAAATAAAAGAAAGATTTCCTGACACATGCAGCATTTTGCCATTTTCTCATTCCTCTGTGTGCTGGCTGGTTTTTCCCAGTTGCATTTTCAAAAAAAAAATTCACAACCAAAAAGCATTGTAAGATCACTCTGTCCCCTTTCATACAGCAGTGATATGTCACCAAAGACTCCAAGTACATTTTGTTTTGTTTTGTGTTCTCCAGAGTGTGGCATTGTGCACTGTATTGCCATCCATGCTGCTGGTTTTTAGCCTGTTTTGTGCTGGGGAGCTGCGGGCAGGGGCTGCTGGGGCTGTTGGTGGTGCCCTGGGGAGAGTGGAAGTGGAGGGGCAGTGCCAGAGGACCATCCCTGTCCCAGCCACGTGCTCTCCCCACCAGGCTCGTTCTCCAAGGGCGTCGCAGAGGGTGAGGTGGACCCATCTTTTGGGCCACTGGAGGCCATCAGGCTGTCCATCCAGACCGACTCCCCGGTGTGGATCATCCTGAGCGAGGTAAGCCGAGCTCCCTCAGCGCCTCCCAACCCTTACCCTGCTCATCGCTCTGATCCCATCCCTCTCTTCTTTCAGATTTTTATCAAGAAAGCAGAGTGAAACAGGCATGAGGCAGAAGGGACACCCTCGTGGATCCCTGGTCCTGCTCCCTCCCTCCCGCTCCCTCCTCCCGCGGCGCCTTGCCTGGAGCAGGACAGCGCAGGGCGGCACAAAGCTGCTGCTGCGCCTTCCCCAGCGGGGCTGCGGGCCAGCACGGGCATCGGCTTCTCCAGAAGAGGAGCAGAAAGCAGAACCCAAGCCCCTGTGCAGAGGGGTGGCTCTGCTCCGCTCCCTCGGGTGCTGCTGCCGCTCGGGACACACGGACATGGGACAGTTTGGGGTCGGGATGAGCTTTAGCCAGCGTGGGGACAAAAAGCAGCTTCAGCCCCGGACAGGACAGTCTCTGGCTGGGTGTGGGGACGGAGGAGGTCACACCGAGTCCTGCCAGCTGACCCCACCGGCGCCCTGGGATGGAGGCGGCAGGGCCCCAGCTCTGCCTTGCCCTCTCCCAGGCAGCAGTCCTGGCCACAGCTGAGGATTAAGTGAGGGCAAAGACTGACCCTCCTTCAGCAGAGGAGGAGTGAATCCAAAGGGGTTGGAGCTATGATTATGGCAGGGAAAACAAAAAAATAAAATACGCCACACTGTGCCTGCCAGCATTGAACACAGCCCCTTAACTCACGGTGAAGTCTCCAGTGTCTTCATGCCTTGAGATTTGAGTGCAGAAACTGTCTTTTAAATAACTAATTCAGTTATTGATTGATGTGGGTGTTTTTTGGGGACGGAAAAAATAAAAGCAGAGGTAGCCCAGTTCAAAAATAGTAGGGATTAGTGTAAATCCCAATGTCCTTTCAGCTATACACTGGAATGCATTATACTACTTTAATGTTCTGTATTTTTTATTATTGGATACATTTGATTTTTCAAGTACATCTCTCTATATAAATATATAAAACAATGTGCACTGTAATAAAAGCTAAATTTAAACCTTTGGTGCAGTAGTGAGAGTCACTTGCAGCAGGGCTGCTTTAGGCACCTGGGAACCCCAAGTTCACAATGGAGGGTGGAATCCAGGGAGTGCAAAGTTGGTGATAAATGAAGCTGGGGTAAAGTAAAGGTCATTTAATCAATGCCAAACAGACTTCAGTACTTGAGCTAGGGTCAGGCTTTTCTCCCAGTGTTTGGATGTGGTTTTAGGCAAGCTTACCCATCCTTTTCAGTTAATCACAGCAGCTTTTCCTATGAAACCCAGTCCCCAACTCAGATGTTCTCACACCAGTCTCTGAGTGCCTTTGACAATCACAGGTGATTTCTAGTCAGAAAAAGAATTTATTTTTTTTATATCCATGGTATGATTCTTCAACATAGATCATTACAGCAGTAAGGAGGAGAGATGACAGCATGTGGGTCAATCTGTGCTCCATGAGGCAGAGCCAGAGGCATTTTGGAGCAGACAGTGCTACAAAGCCCAGCAGTGAAGCTCCTCAGCAGGGGCAGGGGCTGGAAAGCATTTGCTTTCTAGGAGGGAAATTATCTCTGAAGACCAGAGGAGTGCCAGCATCCATCTCCCTTCAGCAGGGAATGCAGAGGCAGGGAAATATTCTCTCTCTGATGATGCTACATGACTGGCTCCCCTGTGCCAGGAGCAACACGGTTTTGGGAGAGCTGTGGCGCCTCTCACCAGGCACCACAGAGCTGGAGAGGCCACACCAGTGCTGCCATCCATGTGGAGGAGCTGGGCCTCAGGAAGTGTGCCAGGAGCCCAGCCAGTGCCAGCCCCACCAGCACCCAGAGCAGCCAGGCACTGGCATACAGTGGTCCCAACCTGGGTGGGAGGAAACACCATCAGGCACTGCCAGCCCAGCTGGGGCACAAGGCACCCTGGCAGGGCTGAGAGTCCCCACCCCCCTTTGGGACGGTCAGGGAAGAGGTGGCACAGCCATGAGCACATGGGGCAGCAGGGGAGGAGGAGGAGGAGGTGGTGAAAATCTGCCTGCAGTCCCACCCAGAGGGAGGAAACCTGTTCCAGGGGCCCCGTGCTGCTCCAGGCTCCTGGGCTGGTTTGGGTGCCCACGGTCCCAGTCGGGTCCTTACCGTCCCTGCGCCGCCACGGCGTAGCCCTGGAAGTACCTGAGGCGGGTGTAGAGGTACAGGAGCCCACAGGCTGCAGTCACACCTGGGGGACAGGAGCTGAGTTCTGCTGGGGCTCAGGATCCCTGACACTGCTGGAGCTGCATTCCAGCACAGTCCCCCCAGCAGAAAACCAAACACAGAGTGATTGGGCTTTAAACTACTGCGTGAGCTTAAATTCCCTTCCTTCCCTTTTTGTGAGGGATGAACTTCTCTGCCCCACAGAGTTGCTCTGGGACTTGGGTTGGCAATGCTCCCTTATATGGTTTCTCCTCACAAAGAAGTGGTGGCAGCAACCAAATTCCCTGAGCTGACTTGGTAGGGATAGACAATGGATGAGTAAATGTTTGGGTTATGGTTTCTTGTTCTGCCACCCTGGTACCCTGGGACAGCCTGACCTTGTCCAAGAGGAGCAGCACGAGGGAACAGCCAGGCTCCAGCAAAGGAGTAGGGGCTGCCAGTGCCTCCTCCAGGCAGCAATGGGCTCAGCTGCTCCCAGCTGGAGTTGAGGCACTTCTCAATCCAGCTAAAGGGGAAATTTGCTTTCCATGAACAAGAGCCTCACAGGCAAAGAGAGAATGCCTGAGTTACACTGGTATTTACACTGGGGCTGGGTTTTTTTGGCTTGTTCACATGGTTTGTGTTGGAGTTCCCCCCCACATCCCTCTTACCTTGATGGAAGAAGATTCCAGCAACCCAGAGGAGGGAAATGAAGATTGGGAAGTACTCTGAGCAGTTTGCCCTGGTGAGAACCAGAGATGAGAGTTAAAACTGCCTCTTTGTACATCAGAGCCTGGATAACCAGGGCTGGAAAAGGGAATTGGAAACTCATGTCGGACCAAGTTAAAACAGCTGATGAGAACCATTGCTGTGCTGAGGGAAAGGGGCCTTTTCTGTGATCAAGAACATCCAGTTTGTATTGTAGAGAAAAGAAGCAGCCAAACAACACACAGCATTCACCTCTCCTGCATTCACATGGCCCTGGAGTGACAAGTTGTGGCTGAGATGGAGATTTGTCTCTGCTGGACCCTCTACAGGCTCCATCCCACACACAGCACCATCCCAGACAGCTGCTGCACCACTGGCTGCTGGGGGAGAGCCTTCTTGTCAGTATTTAGGGAGCTTTCTCTTTCCCTTGGGTGAGCACAGCCCAAATTTGGGAGTCACACAAGTCACACACCATGAAGGAGCCTTCTCAGATAAAATTCAGCAGGAGGTGATCAGATTTACAGCCAGGTTTTCCTCCTTTTTACTTTAGTGACAAAATTACAGATTTTCTGCAAGAGTAGGAGCTGTGCTATTAAAGACATTGGTTTTGCTTCTCCCACATTTTACCATTCCCTAGGCAATTTAATTTCAATATTGGCCAAAAATATACAAACCTTTGGAGAATGGAGCCAGACTGGGAGCTGGAAAAAGTCTGAAGAACCTTATTCTGTAAATGCAGTTTGAGCCTCAGTGAGGGGAGGCTGCCAGGTTTCAAGTGAGTAATGCATCAATACCACTTTTTCCCATTTTTGTTTTCAATATATCAGATTATCCATTTGTACACTTCCAGAGGGAAAGGAGAAGAAAAACCCACAAAGAAGCAGGTCCTTCTTAAGTCCAAGTACCCTGAGGTCACCTTCCTTGCCACAGCCCACGGCATGACTTGGTCAAGACACAATTAATAGTGAAGTATTTAATTAAAGCCACATCAGCAGCTCCCCAGCTCGCAGAGGCTGATGTCTCCAGGCAGGCTGGCCTTCCTGGCCCCACAGAAGGCTGGAGCTGCTGTTTTTGTCACTCCACAAACGTTTCCTGTGCGCTGGCAAGGGAACGCAGCTGCTTTGTTCGGGATTTAGTGCCGGGCTGGAATTACCCTTCACACCAGCTCCAGCCAATTCCTTTCAATCGCTCACAAAACAGAACGACTAAGATGAAAGATGGAATCTGGTGCTTTCTGGAAGCTGAAGGGATCTGTGAACGTTTCCAGTTTAGCTCCAGCATTGCTCTCTCCATAGGAACAGAGCAAAAAGAAACAGCCCTCAGCAGGGGCCCACGAGTGCTGATTCTCACAATACAATGGCTTCTGAAAGGGAAAAAATTAAAATGCCCTTGTGGCTGGTTCTGCAAGCAAGGCCCTTTTCTTCAATTCAACAGCAAAACATTACAAGAAAATATCAGGTTATTAATAAAGCTTTGGCTGCTCTCACCATTTGGAGCCAATGGTAATATTAAATTTAATGATTCTAATTGTGAACGCTCTGCACCTCCTCCATACGGCCACTAATTTGTAATTTGGCTGCCTCACAATGCCAGAAGGAGAATTATCATGGATGGACAGAAACACCCCAGCCAAAGTGCTTCAAATCAAAATGCAGACCTTTGCACACAAAGCACTAAAAAAAAAAAAAAAAAAAATAAAAAAAAACAAAAAAAAAAAAAAAAAAAAAAAAAAAAAACAATAGCAGTAAGTGGAAAGGTGATGGAGGGAGACCAGTCTGTCCCAACAGCTGACTTAAATCTTATCTAGACAAAGCCACCACAAAAAGTCAAAATCTTACTGAGCTCTGAAGGTCCGCTCAAATTCAGGGTGACCTGTTGTTCCAGGAGGGGAAATCTTGTACTTCCGACGGGCGTAGATCACCTGCATTGCAAAATAGGCTGAAAACAGAACACAGGAATGGTAACAGACCAGCAATGTTTATTTAGCCAAGTGTCATCTGGCTTGGAATCAAGCAAGTGGTTAGGCTGAAAGAGCTGATATGATCTAGGTCCATAGTCCAGGGCTGTCACACACAACCTGCAATAAATGTGCCATTTATTTCACTCTCATGCCTTAAATTCAGGTTTGGTTATCCCAGCTGAGTGCCAGTGCTGGATGACACTTTGCATCGTCTCACACCCAGCAAAGCCCTCAGTGCTACTCAAACACACAATAAAACCTTACCAAGTCCACACTGAGTCACACAATTACTTCTGAATCTTGCACTTTGTGTTTAGAGTACACGTGCACCCTCAGCCAGTCTGATGGGAATGATGTGCAGCACTTTCTGCTATTCCTAGTGGGTCCATGGCCCATGTCACAGCACTAGGATATCAAACTGTCAAGCACTAGGATATCATTAAGTCAATTGGAGATGCTCTTAATCATGGCAATAAAAGGAAATGGGGAAGAGGGTGATAATTTCTTGCTCTTCACTCCTGCAGGACAGCCCCAGGGTTCCAGCAGTTCAAGGAACAGAGGTGCTGCCCATGCCTGCTATCAGCCTGTGCCACATTTGAGCCAAGACACTGATTCAGTGTCTGCTACATCAGTCCTTTGTGTAAAAGACATGGAAAGTCACTTCAAAACAATGAAAACTTGCTAACATGAAGATTTGGAATATTTCACTATTTATTTACAGCTCCTACTCCCACAGGCAATTGCTGATGCTCTGTTTTATTTAGGTGCACCGCTGCCTTTATTGAAAACTCCTATTTTCATATAGGAGAAAACTAAATTATAAAAACAATGACTTTGGTGGCTGTGGTGGTGTCACTGAGACACTTGAGTGAGCAAAGTGCTCACATAGCAACATTTCCAGGGCTTTGCACAGAGAGACAAGGAGCCAGGGTGCAATGCCTGCCTTGGGGACTGTCCTATTCTAACAAAGATAAAAGCAGAACAGCAGGATAGAGAAGGGGAAGTAGGGACAGATGTTCCAAGATTAAAGACAAGACATGTGCCTGCAGAAAAGCATTAGAACATATGTAGAAGAGAATTAGAAATGTAAATAATCTGATGCTACGTGACTTGTGTAAGGTTTTACCAACATAAACAGTCATTCCTTTCAGAACACATATAAGAACAATTAAGCATGTTCTAGGATCTTCCACAGTGACCCAGGTCTAAATGAGGTGTGCTGACAGAGCAGAGTGGGGGGACACAAGAATGTTCCCCCCTCTTTGATTCATTTGTAGCAGGTTGATCATGGGTGAGTGTGTCACCCTTCTGCAGAAGTCCAGCAGGAGAGGACACAGCATTCCCTCTGTGAATCCAGAGAGGTGTGTCACACAACTGGACTTCAGCAGCTGCCTCCCCCCTGGTGCTCTCAGGGTTTCGTCCCAGTCTCCTCTCCAGAAATGGACTGACCTGAAGTTACAGCATCATGAGCAGATCTGGCTTGTGGCATAAGCCCAGCGGCACTGGGCAATGCTGTTCATCCTGCTTTGTGCCATCTGCACCTTTCCAGAGGTAGGATTCTTGTGACTGATGGGTGAGGTAAGAGTTATTTCACATCAAACCTCTCCATCAGCTCTACACTTCGCATCTTGCTCCTACACAGGGCCTAATATTCAGAGAAGTCCCTGACACTTAGGAATGGGTAACATAGAAAACAACCACCCAAAAAAAGCAGGAGCCTTTTAGAGGACAGCTGGCTGTTTCCCAAACCTGGTGTAAGGGTGAAGAACCAGTCCCCAAAAGCACTTCCCGGAATGAGGTGTTAAAAAACCCCACACTGCATGAGCCTTCTCAGCATGGACTCTTAGAGAAAAAGAGTTCAATCTATTCTGCAGAACCTTTCAAAGCATTTCCTTTTGTGATTCATGTCTCGAGGTTAATCACCTGTGTGGATTCCCATGTGGCTTAGGGGCTCAGCTCTCCCTGAACTTTGCTTCTCAGTGGAAATATTCTTCATTCTCTATTTGATTATGTCCACAAACTTGTCAAATCATATCATAGCTGCTATCTGCCACATTTGAGTGAACCTGGCAAACAAGCCCTCTGGGGCCTGACAGTGACATTGTGTAAGTTTTCTTTCCCTTGAAGCAGTAAAATAAAGGGGTGGGGGAAAAAAATGGAGTAGAATAATTTTGCTCTGTGGTACAATGTTCACAACAAGGCTGGGGCACACATCTACAGAGTGCTAAACTTAGGGTTTCACTAAACCAAGAATGACTAAATTGAGAAAAGTTACTTGAAAGAACATGGAAACTGCAGGCTCTCAGAAAATTCAAAAGGAAACATAAAAATCAACCAACGCTGTACCAAGGTCAGCCATTAAATGACATCTCCTGCAGCAGGATGTGATGGAGGAGTGTCTGTAGGGATAGCCCATGTCCGTGCTTCAGTGTGCTCCCCTGCTCAGAGTGAATCCCAGACCTGTAACTCACCTACAGAATGCCCTTTCAACACACGCAGAGAAAGCACAGCTCTGAACCCCAGTGACATGGGCACACGTATTTCACAGGACTAGATGGAAAGGAAACACACAGTATTTTGCAATTGCTCCTTGGCTTCCCACACAGAGATCATAAAACCAGGATACCTCATCTGATCGAACAGATAGGAGGGTGCTAACGCCAGCTATTTATCTGCTGGCTTCACATCTGGCTTGTATGCCATCAACGTAAAATGCTTAATGCTGCAACCTTTAAAAAGTACTTGAAATTCTCATTAAACAAAAATATTTGAGACAAAACTGCTATCTAGGGATTTGCTATTGAGGGTTTCCTAAAGGAAGAGGGCTCAGCAGCATTTCTGTAACTCAATTTCAAGTTTTCTTCATGTCTTGTCTTTGCATGTTAAACACTCACTCCACTCCCACCCACTTAGTTTAATAACAAAAAAATTCATAGTACAAGTTTCTTCTGTTTGTAGTTGTAGGTCTCCGTAAATTGAGTGTAAATTACTGAAAATTCAGAAGTCTCGAGCTCTATTTTTAAAGTGGCATATTTTGTTTAAAATAATGCTTGTATTAAGAGATCTATCATCTGATGGCTAAAAGCACATGATGCTGCTCAGAGAGTCACACCCAAGCAAGCAGAGATGTGATAGCAGTATGGTGAATTAATTAGTAACAAACCCCACAAACCTTTCCTTATAGAATGGTGAAGATTTTAATAAAATGGGCGCTCTGTTCCCATCCCAGGCAGGGGAGTGACTGTCCTGAAGCTCAAGAGGGAGAGACTTTGCCCAAAGGACCCACAAATAAGCAGTTGGCAACAACACTGCTCCTTCTAAATGGTCTAAACACAATGCATCTATTTAAATTAGAAGTCACTGAGTTCCTTTGAAGGAACTTTGTATGCTCTGTGCCATATGAACATACAAGGATATTGGCTACAGAGATACACCCACGTGCACAAGGCTTTCCTATATCCACGCCAGGTCAGTCTGTACACTGACCTCCTCATCAGCACATTTACTAACCTGCCTTTATTTTGGCTACCTCCAGCCACTACAAGTTACAAATTACCTGCTAAAATTCATTCACAAAATAGTTTACTTTAATAACATCACACTGAAATTGCTTTAAGTCTAGAAGTTTTACTTTCTGGCTTTGAAGATCATTTTAGTCCCTCTTAAATAATGACCACACTCAGGCATGACACTTCTGCCTGAACAGCCAAAACTTTGTATAATTTTACCATGTAGAAAAACAGTGACTTTCACTCCACAGACACTCAGACAAAAACACAAGAACCACATCCCACAAAGTTTAACATAACTGGCTGAATACTGGCATTGTACAAAGGACATTTACCTTGCTCCAGGACCCCCAGAACTGTGACTGTGGCCAGCAGGTCTATTTGATCTCTCATGCTGCTGACTGTGGAGCAAACCCCAGCCTGATGTGCTGGGTACAGCTGCTCCAACACTCTCCTACCACCACCCACTTCCAAGAGCTGCCTCTGAGCATAAGTGTTTCCTCCACCACACCTTAACTGTCTCCACACCACGTGGTTTTCCAAAGCGGCCATCCACCAGAAAATGTCTACCCCTTCCAGCCAAGTGCCTTTTGTTGAACAATGGAGCAGGGAAGAATTTTACATGAGCAAACGGTGAAATTCTTCTAATTACATTTACAAATTTTATACCACGATTGAATTATATGTTGCCAGCAATGGATAGATCATGGAATTCTTTCCAGCTCTTTTGTTGCTAGTTTTAATGAGCTCTGAAGCATCTCAATTATGTGCAAGGTTGTAAAAATTATTAACAAGCATTTACAAATTAGTTACTTGACCCTCTGCTCTTATTTCAAGTAGTGGAGTTGACCACATGAAAGATTTTATACACTCCAGCTGGAATAACTTAATTCTGTTACCAGATTCTGTGATTTAACAGAACATTCAGATAGTTTATCCTACTAATTACTACTCTTTAAGTTTACCAAAGAGGAGTACAGTTCTTTACTAGCACTCTTCTTATGTTTTTAAGCAATACAAACCTTTCCCTGGCTAACATACAAAAGAAAAGTTCTCATTTCTGAAGGCAGCAGAGTATGTAGAAACATAGGCCCTGAGGAATGTTAAACTGATATCAGAGTCATATTTGTAAAATGTAAAATGTGAAAACCAGCAATGTTTTTGCCCCGAATAATTTTTCTCCCCACTCCACAAATGTAAAATTGGCATCAGTTCAAAAAGTTACCTTATGTTATTAAGCAACTTTATATAGATGACTACTCTGACTTTAAAAGTTTTTAAATCAAAGAGCAGGAAGGTTTTCCCTTAATGTTGGTGGTTGAGCCATTACATTTCTCTCTGTTGAGTCACACAGACAAACCCTCACTACAGAATTTGTGCATGTAGCAGACCTACAGTTTCTCCCAAGGACACAGCAAGATTTTTTTTCTAGTTTGGCTCTTCATTGCTTCAAAACCCCATTATGGCAGCTGATCAAGTTGAAAATTCAGT